AAATAAATAAATACAGTCAAAACATGATAGTCACAAAAAAAATTACACTAAATTTATAATTGTATGGAAACATATTTGTAAGAATGCTGACTAATCTTACCAGGCGTTCCTACTGACTTTTTAAAATTTACCTGCGATCACATAAAGGATCTCTATCAGACAACAGCTTTTGTCCTTGCTATCTCCTCACAGCTAGGTAGGGGAGGGAGAACCCCATATGCTCTCCTGCGCTTATTCCTTAAAAGAAGAAATAAGCGCTTCAAAAAGGAGATCACATTTTCTAGTTTCAGTTTTCTTCTCTTGTTTTATATGTTTCACATAGGCTTACTTTTCCTCTAAAATTTCTGTAGTTTTAAAAACTTGATTAAAAATTATAAATATTCACCACAGAAGCTCCAAATGCTTCTGTTTTTGCTTTTATTGTTTTTTTAAGACAGCATCTTGCCAAGTTCCAAGATAACCTTGAATTTACTACGTACCCCAAGCTGGCTCAGAATTCTGCATCTTCTTGCTTTGCCTCAAAAGTACTGGGATTACAGAACTATGCCATAATACTCAGCTTCTACAAAAATCCTCTTGTAATCCTAAAAATAGGATAACTAATATGCATTATTACTTTAAATTCATAACTCCACTGTGATTGTAATATGAGAGAGTGAGACACCTCCCTCCAAAAATGCTAAGCACTGGTTTTGTTGGGTAAATTTATTATACAAGTAATGCATTGGGGGCATATCGATTATTTTTAAACCTTTCACGGATTCTAATTTGGGGCACATCCCTTGAACATGAGGGTAATTCACCTGGGTTAACTGCTTACACCGCTCTTTCGTAGCAGCAGCATCTTCCTTCACAACAGTAAGCAGCTTGTCCTTCTCCTGAAGCTGATGCAGAAGCGCAGTCAATTCTCCTTTATTTGACTACAATTATAAAATTAATACAGACTTAGAAAGACGTAACATGAGCTTATGAGAATGAAGTATTTGCCATCAAGTATTTTTGGCCCAGTGCACAGCTCTGTAAAATACAGCTTTGTATTTTTGGCCAATGACTGCCAAAAACTGGTCAGCGAAGACAGTCAGAAAAGTCACTATAACATTATGCAGTCTCAAATTTCCAACAGCAGAAAAATCAAGAAGTAGATTTTTGCAAATTACAGAACTTCTAATTTTATTTTTATTTTAGAACTTCTAGTTTTAAACCCAGAGTAAAAACAGTGATTTCTCATTCCAGATCAAAAGAAACAATATGAAACCAAAAGGCAATTTACCACCACCAAAACAGTGCTCTTTAACCTCAAGGTATAATACCAGGAAAGACCACAAAAGTAAAGCAGAGTAAATACCAGCATTCAGTCACATGGCCAATATGCCCAGGTCAGAGGAGAAGCAACAGATGCATATAGGAGTTCTCTAAATTTAACAGGCAAGCTGAAAGGGAAAACCAAACAGCCCCCATCTGACATGAGAAATAAGTGCAGGGTTTTAAGGCAGAACTTTTTGAGCAGGAAACCTTGGAAGGAGAAAGAAAAAAAAATCAAAAATTGTATTCACAGTGAGTGGCTAGCAAGTGAGCAAATACGCCTCCTGTACTAAGGCCCCCTGTTTCAAGGGAAGAAGTAAGGGCCAGAAGCACACATTCATGCTCTCAGCTCCAGGACAATACAGGGGAGCACTAGCTTTTTGCTGGTTTTTTTTAATATATATATTTTAGAAAAGGGTCTACAGGGTGTTCAGGGTCTCACTACTAGATCAGACTCGTAGTGATTCTCCTGTTTACAGCTTCCCAAGTGCTGGGATTACAGGCACACACCACCATGCCCAGGCTCAACTGCCGTCTCAGCAGGCCCCAGGGGTGGAGCTGGCACGGCAGGCCTGGGGATCAAACCCCTAGCCCCTGCACCTGCTTGCAGGCACTTTAATGTGCTGAGTTATTTGGCCGGCCCTTTAGCTGTTTGTTCACTATTGCCAACCTCCAACACAGAGATAATCCAGAAGGCAAATCTCTCTCGGGAGAGGAGTGCTAGTAAACAAAATAAAACAAGGAGGCTGGTTAGATAGCTCAGCAGACTAAGTGCCTGCTTAGGCAAGCACAGGGACCAGGATTCGATCCCCTGCAGCACAGGCCATGCTGGCCCTGCCTCCGGGCACACTGAGCCTGCCATAGACTGGGCATACCAGCGTTCAGCGTGACTGAATGCCAGTATTTACTCTGCATTACTTTTGTGGTCTTTTCTGCTATTAAACCTTAAGGTTTAGCTCAGTGGATTAAAGTGCCTGCCAGCAGGCACAGGGGCTGGGAGTTTGATCACCAGGCCCACTGTGGTGTGCTGAGATGACAATTGAGACTGGGCGTGGTGGTACACACCTGTAATCCCAGCACTTGGGAGGCTATAAACAGGCAGATCACTATGAGTTCAATCTAGAAGTAAGACCCTTCCCTAAAAATACCCAAAAAATCCCCAAACCCTAGAAGTTCTAGAGGAGGATCATTACAAGTCTGAGCTGCATAGTGAGACCCTGTAGCAAATACATACATACATACAAAAGCAGGGTCTATACCATGTATTTTAAAAAGGAAAGCGGTACAAACGTCAAGTGAAGAAACACAAAAGGAAAAGGTTATCAGAGACAGACAAAAATTCTAATAAAATTATCACCTTAATTTAATTTTATTTATTTATTTGTGGCAAAGGGGATTGAACTCAGACCCTTGCCAGGGAAGCGCTTATTCTACTAAGCCATCTCCCAGGCCCTGATGTGAACATTTCCAAAACACCTGTCCTATACCTTCTTTGTAGGCCTATCTAAAATAGAAATCAAGGGCAATCTGATTTGCCATCCAGGCTTTGGAGTTCAAAGCTTTCTCAGATAACAAAATAATTATCCTCACTCTCATACATAAGCTACCAGCAACGACCTCAGGCACAACAGCTGAGTGGTAGCGAATGCAGTGATTCCACCTGGAGGCTTTCCCCTGTGAGCTTTTCCCAGTGCTCCCAAGCAACTTGAAGACTCTTTAGGAAGGTATTCACCAATTATAGTAGAGTGAAACAAAGACAAACTCTTTAAGATTGTCACGGAAGTCCTTACAACAGAACCATCTGACTTTGTATTCAAAATCACAGTTACATTTCTTGCTTGTCCTGGAACTCCTCGCCACGCTAAGCCATTGCTAGCAACACAGTGAGTGAGACAGTCTAGCCAGCACACTGTACTGTAAAATTTACTGTCAAGAAGAGACATGGATGTATGAACAGACTTACACTGCTATAGTCAATATTATGGAAAAAAAAAAAAAAAAAAAAAAAAGGTCCAGAGTTACGCATGAAAGTAACAGGGTAGAGAATTTACACTATTAAATTTCAGGTTAGGCTTATATGAGAAAATAACAATCAAGGAAAGAGGAATTAGGCATAGGGGAAAAAAACTGGGTAAGCGAGGAAACAAAACAAAACAAAACAAAAAAAACAAGTTTGGTAGCTAGAAGCAGACAAAAACTAGTATGGGTGAAATGTAGTAAAGGGAAAATTTCATTAGATGAAGCCGTAGAGAGTAGTAGTCAGAAACCTGTTAAGGAACTGAGATTATGCACTAAGTATGACGAAAAAACCCAAATAGAGTTTTTTTGTTTTGTTTTTGGCGGAACCGGGGATTGAACTCAGATCCTTGTGCTTGCCAGGGAAGCACTTATTCCACTGAGCCATCTCCCCAGCCCCTAAATAGAGTTTTTAAAACTCAATAATCTTATTCATCTTTTAAAGGTTACCTTGCAGTTAAGTGGGGAAAACAGAATAGATAACTAAGAGGAAAAGAAAAACATCAATTTGGAGACTACTGCAGGCCACCAAGAAAGAGACAATGACTCAGAGAAGAGTAGCCTTTACTTAGAAAAATTAAACCACTAAAGTAGCTAAGTGAATAGGTGGGGTACCTGTGTGTACACAGCGTTTTTTCAGAATAAGGACAGTTATCTATCATAATATTGAATATCAGGGTCAATGTCATCTTACTAAGGCAAAATTTTAAAACTCATTTTTTCCAATATGACATAGTATGACATTATTACTCATAAGAATAACATTAACTCAATGAACATTTTCTGTTTTGAGTTTTGTTTTTTTTTTACTTTTACAAACTTTTTACCAGTCTTAAAGACCTGCCATCCAAATCTTTGTTTTTAACCACTTAACATTTTTTACATACTGATTATCCCCAAACATCGCTATGGTAGGTGTTGAATGCTTTAGATATATAATACCCACAAGAATTATCAAATAAATATGACACAATTTGTTGTTTTTATATTTCCTATTATGCTATAAAATTGAAGGAAAATATGCAGTATTGGCCATCCGATATTTAATTATTTGGGCTAGTAAGTGGTTAAAGGGAATATCACATATACTCAAGCAGACATGGTCTAGAACATTCCATATATGCTACCCAAAATAACTGACCTTGACTTTAAAACTTGTAGTCAGACCAAGTGTATAGCTTAGTCAAATTCCAAATGACTTGCAAGCCATAAAAATAATTATCCTATATTAAGCAACTGGCTTTTGTCAAAGCATCAGATGATTCAAAAACAGCCTAGGTCAGCACATATTAATTAGTATGAATATATGAAATACTTCTGAAGGCATTCTAAAACTTTTATTTATTCTTGTGTGTGTGTTTATAAGCATTTATTGTTGAACATTGTCTGTTGACTTTTGGATAAAAATAAATTCAGTAAAATGTGTTTGCTCTGAGCCTTCTCTCTGTGTGGAGCATTTATTTCCTAACTAAAACAATTTTAAAGCAATTACCTTCATATACATTTTATCTTATATGTACTTTCTCAAGTGTACTTCTTGAAGACAATAGTGTGAAAGCTTCCTCACACCCGTGGCAGTCGTATGATTCCTCTCCTCTGTGTGTTCACACATGTACAAGGTGATTGAGTACATGGCAGTCTGTTCCACATGTGACATCAATATGTTTTCTCTCATGTGTATTGTCTCATGTTTAGCTAGGTGAGATGACTGAGTGAAGGCCTTCCCACATATATGGTATCCATATCGTGTTTCTCTGGTGTGTGTTCTCTTATGAATTGTCAGGTTTTTGCAATGAGTAAAAAGCTTTCTGACACATGCTACATTGATATGGCTTTTCTCCTGTGTGTGTTCTCATGTGAATTTTAAGGTTACTACAGTGAGCAAAAGCTTTTCTACACACATTACATTCATATGGTTTCTCTGTGTGTGTTCTCTTATGTATTTTAAGGCTTTTAGGTTGAATAAATGCTTTTCGACACACATTACATTCGAATGCTTTCTCTCCTGTGTGTGTTCTCTCATGTATAGTAAGGTTAGATGACTGAGAGAAGGCCTTCTCACATACATGGCATCCATATGGTTTTTCTCCTGTGTGTATTCTCATACGAATTTTCAGGTTACTGAAATGAGTGAAAGCTTTCTGACACACATTACATTCATATGCTTTCTCTCCTGTGTGTGTTCTCTCATGCATAGTAAGGTTAGATATTTGAGTGAAGACCTTCCCACATAGATGGCATTCATATGGTTTTTCTCCTGTGTGTATTCTCATATGAATTTTAAGGGTACTAAATTGAGCAAAAGTTTGTCTACACACAACATTCCTATAGCCTCTCTCCTGTGTGTATCCTTTCATGCCTTCTAAGTTCACATTGCTTCATGAATTCCTTCCCATATACAAAGCACTCATATGGATTCTCTGCTGTGTATAATCTCATGTGAATTTTTAGCTTATCTAAACACTTGTACATTTTCCCACATTGATGACATTTGAAAACTGTTTCACTGGTATGTGTTCTGTTGTGCTGATAAAATTTAGAAGACTGATTGAAGTTTGCTCCCGATACACAGAATTCATCTCAGATTTAGTTGTCTTGTGTCTTCGGAATGCAGACTGATGTTTGAAGGATTTCCTACACAGACTGCCTTCAAAATCTATCTCTTCACCCTGTGCATTTTTCCTGGGCTTGATGGTGTGTGTTTTATTCATTTTCATTATGTCCAGTGGTAATCTTTACCTCTACATCATGTATGTTCTTTTTTTCCAGACTCCAGGTTGCTGATGGTTTCCAGCATCACAGCTCTGTACGGCTTTCTCTGTGCTGTGTCCAGCAGAGTCCACTTATCTGGGGTGAATCTGATGGTCACATCTTCAGTGGTGATTGATTCCTCCAGATGCCTTGCCATCTACACTTTCCTGCAGGAGTTCACTCACAGGGTGGGCAAGATGAAAATATGTGCAGAGGATTTGAGGGTTCTTGGAAGATGGTGGAGTTGTGAGCAGCAGCAAATCAGCCTCTCCAAGCTTGGGAATCCAAACCCTGGTTTTATTCAGTGGAGGAGTGGCTTGAGGGGGAGTGTCTGGAGGAGGAATGACCGAGAACTGTGGGAAACAGGTAACTGTGAGCTGAGCTAGGTGGTTGGTCTACACTTAACCTCTGCCATATGCAGAGAGAATATGCAGAGAAAGTTATCTGCTTTATGCTATACAGATAGTATCTTCATGTTTTGGGGGTCTGGTGCTTCAGCTTGGATGTAGTCTTTCAAGCCCCAGGAAGTCACAGCCTCTCTCTCGAGGCTCGATCCCAGCTGGTGGCACAGAGCACTGGCTCTTCCTTCTGTCTTAATCCAGCTCACATTAAAGAGCAGCAGGTGTAGGTTACCAGGGAAACACACACGCCACCTTCAAAGACTATCACCAGCACCTCAGCTAGACCAATATACACTGCTTCAGGTCAATTGCTTTTTTTTTTTTTGGTGGAACCAGGGATTGAACTCAGGCCCTTGAGCTTGCCAGGGAAGCGCTTATTGTACTGAGCCATCTCCCCGGCCACTTCAGGCCAATTGAAGGATAAACAGAAGTCCTAGCCAGCTCTGGACATAACAGTATGAGGAAACAGAGTCAGGCTCAGTCAAAATGGAGACAGTCGCTCTTCCTCCAAGGAGAGCTGCTCAGGTGGTCCTCCACAGGTCCCCCTTCTTTGTTTTGAAGAAGCTGGAGCAGTGTCAGTTCTGGCCTCACAGCCCGTAGCTGTTGTTGGGCTGAGAATTCTCCATGACATACTCTAAACTGGTCACGCAAGGTCCGGTGGATTGCCCGCACGTGACTCTGGTAAGCGGTCGCTGTTTTGAGAAGGTGGTGCATTCTGGCCAGGTTGAGCACCAATTGTAGGAGTCCCTTCCTGGTTCTCGTCTCAGTCCAAGAAGTTAATATTTGTAATCCCAAAGATACGTTATTGGAATCCCACCAAGTTAATTCCAATCTACCACTCCCAGTGCAACCCACAGCGAAAGTAAAGATACTAAGGCATATTTATAATTATTGGGGAGCTAAGGGGCCCTAAGTCCAGCCACAAAGATGGCTTTCCAGAACCAAGAGCTCTAAAACTTTTAGACATGGTTACTTAGTCTAAGTATCAAGGACAAGAGCAGACAATAATTAATTGCTCTGGTAGAAGTCTTATTTGATGATACAGTTACTGCTCACAAGTATGCCTACAATAAAAACATATGCTTACCTTCTTTAAAACCTCTTGCATCACACCAGACTTTTCCTTCAGTAGGTCTACAACACAATGGGCCTCATCTTCAGAAAACATCATGGTCTTCAAGGACAGAAGAAAATCTTTAAATTTCACTTCAGCATTTTCTTAATTAAAAAAGAGAAGGAGTTGGCATTTAGAAAGCACAACTAGGAACTTCAGAAAAAATAAACATCAAGAATTTATGGACTGGGCTGGTGAGATGGCTCAGTGGTCTAAAGCACCTACTTGGAACAAGCTTAGCAAACCACAGGGACCACGGTTCAATCCCCCAGCACCACATGCCAGCCAGCCCCGCCCCCTGGTGGGCTGAGCTGGCCACACACACACACACACACACACACACACATAATAAATAAATAAATAAATAAATAAAATAAAATAAAATAAAATAAAAAGAATTTATGGACTAAAAAGTAAATTATCAAGAGAAGATATTTATGCATCTGCTCAAAAAACAAATGATTCTGTCAAGAGGGAAAACAATGTACATCATCTCTATTATGGATTACAATACCCAGAAGTTTGTAGAGCATTAAATAACAATATGCCCTCATCTCTTAAAAGGATATCATTTAAGCATCTATGCTATATCTATAATGAATATATTCATAATATCCTTTTAACTCTAAGAACCCTGAGACACACATAAACCAAATTCCAAAGATGAGAAAATAAGCTTTAAGATAAATAGAAATGACATCTGATTCTGCAAAGAACAAATATATACAGATGTGATTGTTAAGGTACATTATCCCCTTGATCGGCCAGGAAGCTGTCCTGGGCTCAGCAAAGCACACTTCTCGGTGTTCTGGGTATGGTATGGAAGCAGGACTGTGCGGGCTGCATCTAGGCCTTCTCCCTACTCTTAGGCCCCATTTCCCAGCTACCACGAACTGAACATCTCTGCTCGGCCACGCCCTTCCGCCATGTTTCCCCCTTGGCACCAGCTGACCATGGACTGAATACCCTGAAACTAAGAGCCAAATTTAAACCTCTTCTTTAATTGCAGGTTTTGAAAATCCAACCTTGACAAGAAAGCAAACCACAAATTAAACTTTCTATATTCATCTACCTACCAAAAGTCTCCCAAATTTCTGTTAGGCAGAAAATTCCCCCTGCTAAAAGAACTGTCACCCATTAGACCAAAATAGCATTGAGTTTTTAACACTCCAACTACATTGTAAGGGCTGGGGAGATGGCTCAGTAGAATAGGCATTTCCCTGGCAAGCTCAAGGGCCTGAGTTCAATCCCCAGTTCCACAAAAAAAAAAGAAAAGAAAAACACACTTTCAACTACACTGTAAGTTTTTTAGCCACATGTATACATGTGTGGGGCAGGAGGAATATGAGAGCTCTTTACTTTCTACTCAATTTTGCTATGAACCTAACCTAAAAATGCACTACCTAACAATTAAATTAAAAAAAAAAAAAAAATCCATCACCAACACCAAAAAAAAAAAAAGAAAAAAAACAGCAGTTGTGAGTTAGCCTAAAAATCTCTCAGGAGTTAACAGTAGCAGGGAAAAGACTGGCAAAATAGCTAAAAGATGTTGAGCAAGTCAAATTCCAATGTTCAAATCAACAAAATTAAGGATGAATTAGTAAACTACCAAAACTTTTACCACAAGTACAAAGTATACGTGACTCAATCAGAACTCAAAATATGTTTTTATAATAAAACAGATTAAGACATTCTGTATATTACCTTTGTCAGTTTCAATCTTCATTTTTTTAGACCCAGATTTCTGGATCCCTTCTACTTGGTCAGGTTTAATCAGATCAATAACTTCTCTCTTATCCACAAGATGTGAGTTAGCATTATCCATCAAAGGAACTGAAGTACTTCCAAGAATAAAGGGTTCTTCTATCAAAACTGTAATTTAAGTTCAACAAAATCACAAATTATTTGCGGTTTTGAAAAAGTAATTAAACAAGGAAGCACACTTTAATGATAAATGCAGTTATTTCCTAATCACCAATATTATTTCAACTTGGTTTAAAATTCCTTTTTTATTTTTTATTTTTTTGCAGAACCGGGGATTAAACTCAGGCCCTTGTGCTTGCCAGGGAAGCACTTATTCCACTGAGCCATCTCCCCAGTCCCTGGTTTAAAATTCCTACCTTATCATTTAACAAGGTAAGAAACTTTTATTCAAATAGGAACAATTAAATACTACTATTTTATAGCAAATCATTTAAATCATCTAAAAAATGGGCAGAAGCCAGGTGTAGTGGTGCATGCCTGCAATCCCAGCATGAGAGGCTAGGCAGGAGGACCATCACAAGTTCAAGATCAGCCTGGGCCACAAAGTGAGCTCAAAGGAGGTGTGAAGTGCACAGGCAGACCCGATCTCAAAAACACACACAAAATATAAAAACACAAAAGGGCAGTACAGCTTCGCTAACAGTATCTGCAAATTTCTTTAAAATCCTTTTATGTGGGCTGGTAAGATGGCTCAGTGGTCTAAAGCACCTACTTAGAACAAGCTTAGCAAAGCACAGGGACTGCGGTTCAATCCCCCAGCACCACATGCCAGCCAGCCCCACCCCCTGTTGGGCTGAGCTGGCCACACACACACACACACACACACACATAAATAAATAAATCTTCAACACAAAAGGCTAGTCATATTTCATTAGTACTTAAGGAAACTATGTTGATACTTGCCAAATTTGTATTGTAATTGATAATTTTTAATTAAGTCCATGTGTTACAGTACAAAAAATACAAAAAGCCATTGTTCCTTGCAGAGGTTTTCTCATATCTGCGAGTTACAGCTGATTTTCATACACATCTTACTATACCTGCCAAAACTTCCAGAATAAAAATGGAAGGAAGCCTCGCTGTATAGTTCCTAATTTTAAAGTAAAGAATTCAAGAGATTCTATCTGATATCTGCTAGTACATGATACAAACTTTTACACACAGAAGGAATTTTCTGCATATTCCTTTAAATAAAAACCTTTTGTGCGCATGTAATTCTTATGTTTAAAACTTACTGCATTTAACTTTATCAAATATATTCAGGTAATACTCCACTCATATCTGATGAGTAAAGTCATAAAATACAAATAGAATTTCACTTTTTCCCTTTCCAAATTTACTATTCTCTAGTACTAGTTGATTTAACACCCTGTATTATTTGGAAGCTGCCTGTGTTTAACCTACATAAAGTTTATACTCTGGAAAATTCTGAAAGTATAATAAAGCTCTAACATACACACATGTGAACTGTCTACAAAATAATAGGAAATGACGGGCAATGCAGCAAATGTCTTCAGGCCTAATCTGAACATTTTTCTTCATAGAGCTCATATGCTACTCTTTTTTTTCAAAGGCAACAATCAGAATAAGAAATATTGCCATTTTTAAAATTTCAGATAAATCTTTTCATTACATATTTATACTCTATCAAAACAACACAAAGCCACAAGGCTAAAGAAAATTTTTGACTTACACTAGAATTATGGTTGCTATAGCACATATTAAGCTAGCAATTAAAAAGCACATGACACCTCCAGGGTACTATCCTCTAACATCTCTAGAATTAGCATTTATAAAACACATTTATCTGCACATCACCATTTTCTGTCTTCTGCTTCTTTGATGAAATTTTCTTCTTTCCTGATCCACTGTCATGTTTAGTCTCTTGGTGGGAGGGTAATATTTCTTGCTTTTTCAAAGGTCCAATCAGAGTCTCCACCTTTTTATCTTGGTCATCTTTAATGAATGCAAATTTAAAAATCATCATACCAAACATTGAACACATCAGAAAAGATACAATTAGTAATAATTTCCACAATGCTTTACCACTAAAATCTTATTGTTTTATCACCAGTAAATTTGCCTTGTAGCTTTCTTACTCTACTTCATCTGCTCTTCACTGTACTTGCCCCTTTATCTCCCATTCCAGAGCCATTCCCAGTCCTACTTAGCACAGTAAAATCTCTATCAGTTTAAAAAATAAGCCTCTTCTCCATCACTGTAATTCCCAACTTCCCACACTCACTTCCCTCTACAATGACAAAAGAATAAACTTTACTTCTTTTTCTACCCATCATTTTGACAACTAACTGCAATCTGATTTTTATTTCTTCGATTCTATAAAAGGATTAGCTTGGATGCCTGGTGTCCCAGATGCCACACATTACAAATATTATCTGTTAATCCTTATTTGACTACTGTAGTATTTTTTTTCCATAATTTTATTGAAACTACTCTAGTATTTTATTTTGTTGGTTTTCACCTTCCAAATTCCTCCCTTTTATGCTAAGTGAAATAAACCTGTCACAAATGGGCAAATATTGTATAATTCTACTTATATGAGGTTCCCAGAGTAACTGGAGTCAAAGATAGACTGGTATTTGCCTCAAACTGGAAAAGGGAAATGGAATTTCCTGTTTGTGTTTAATGTACATAGAGCAAGAAAATTCTGGGGATGCCTGGTGGTGATTATATAAAATGTGAATTACTTAGCCATAGAACTATACACTTAAAAATAGATTTTATGCTATATGTATTTTACCACAATAAAAAAGCTGCCAGCTCCATTCTCTCCTTATACCATACATATATTATATGTAAATATAATATATATGGTGTGTATATATATATATTATATATAAACATTATATATAATATATATATTATATATAATTTATATTTTAAACCATATATATATTATATATAAACATTATATATAATATATATACATACATATATTTATATTTGGTATAGGGTCTCACTACACAGCTCAGACTTGTAGTAATCCTGTTCTCAGCATCCCCAGCACTGAGATTACAGATTACTGGTGTGCGCCACCACAGCTGGCTCAGCACACCCCGGGGGAAGGGCCAGTGGGGCATGTGGTGGTGGGAATCAAACCCCGGTCCCTGAGCTTGCCTAAGCACCTGAAATACAAATTGAAAGCCTTCCCTCCAACTGTACTCAGTCTCTCCAGTGCTCTGTATCATAATGCTAACAACCATGTACCAATCAAGGGTTGGCTGGAAGACTTTTTCTATCATGGCCACACAGTAAATACTTTATGCTTTTTATTTATTTTTTTTTTTTACTTTATTTTATTTATTTATTTTTTTTTTTTTTTGCGGAACCAGGGATTGAACTCAGATCCTTGCGTTTGCCAGTCAAGTGTTTATCCTACTGAGCCATCTCCCCGGCCCCTGCTTTATGCTTTTTATCACAACTACGTAAGTCTGTAATTGCAAGTGAAAGTCAGATATAGATAAACAAGTAAGAGGCTGTGTTCAAAACTTAATGGACAGCATGTCTGATTCCCAATTTCACATTTCTCAAAGTATTCTTTTGATTTTTTTAACCAGCCATTTACAACGTAAAAATTAATCTCTGCTCATAGCCCATAAAATATAAGAGGAAGGGCCGATGTAACCCACAGGTTGCAGCTTGTACACTGTACATCCTGAGCTGACTTTGATCCTGGAAGATTAGGACTTACCATGTCTTCTCCTTTCTCTCATTCATCTAAGGTTTTTTTGTTTTTGGTACCAAGGAGCAAACTCAGGACTTTGAGCTTGCCAGGCAGGCGCTTAAGCCTCCCAGGAGATAAGAAACATAAGCTTAATTATGTTATTTTCTATACGTCTTTACTTTCCAGTTCTTCTGTCACTGTCATAATTTAGGCCTGCTACATAATTTAGGCCTGCAACTTAACTTAAATAGTAACATTTAAGATAGTCCGACTACTTCAAATACTGCTTCATGAAATCTGTTCTCACAAGTTCTGCCAAAGAAATCTTTCCTAAATACAATATAAATCTAACTATATAACAAATGTGCTTGAAAATCTTCAACAATGACTAACCTACAGAGTCCCAGATCCTGTGATAGTACAGTTGTTCTGTTTTGCTCTCTACCTCCTATTTTATGGCTCAGTGATACTCTCATCTTCTACTTCTGTGCCTTTCTGTACAACACTCTGTCAGTGTGGAATGAGACTCACCCATGAAGAGATTCAGTATTGAAGAACTCAGCTTAGGCACTGCTTCCTCTGTTAAAGACTCTTACTCCTAAGACATTAAGAGTTGGCTCTGACTTCTGTATTTCTTCCAGACTCAGTTTTTGTAAATATATCTATTTCCTACATAACTCATATTTTGCTACTAGCTTACAAATACTCTCTCCTTAAAACATTGATGCTCTAGTTCTCTAGTACTATATTTGGTTACAGCTGGCAAATATATCGTAAATCCAATATAAACAAATCAACACTAAGTTAACATGGACAAATGTTGAGTTCTTTCATTTAAAGGAAACTGTCTGCAGTCACATACCACATCCCTGCCACATCTCAAGTCCTCTCTACCCTAGTCATCTTCTGATATCCATGGGGATTAGTTTTCCGGAACCCCTTCCCTGCATCAAAATCTGCAGATGTTCCTGTCCCCACCCCAAACTGGTGTGGTACTTATATATAACCTCACAAATCCTTCCTTTTACTTTAAGTCATCTCTACAGGATTCATAATACTTAATATAATGTCAATAGTATACAATGTTGTAATTCCATATCGTAAATGAAATAATGGCAAGAAAAGTATACATTTTCAACAGCGATAGAATTTTAGTAAGTATTTGTAATCCACAGATGGTTGTACTCAAGTACATGGAATCATGAATATGGAGGACATACTAGCCCTATAAACCTCTTTCCCTTTGATATTCCATCCTACTTCTGCCTATCTACCCAAAAACATAGAGCTGGCATCAATTTAAATTTTAATTTGTAGCACTAGATGTCTAAATGGCCTGTCACAGAACTCCTATAATAGTTTAGACATACCTAGATTATATTAAATTTTTAAAATTATCGTGACCTATTTTCCTGTGTCTACAGCTAACTATAGAGTACCCTGAAAATGCACTAGTCACCTCTGCAAACCTAGAATCAGGCACAATGCCCAGGATAAGATATGATAAATACTTGCAAAGTTAAATAAGGGTGAAAAACAGCCTTATCTATTCACTAATTCTTATCACAACCAATAAAAAATATTGATTCAAATAAATGGAGGAGTTTCTCATTGCTAGTAACTATAAATCCTTGGTGGTTTTAGGAAAATAACCAAAGTCAGATTTATAAATTTTCAGTGAAGGTCTTTCCCATATTTATAATGTACAGTTTACAGTGCTGATTCATGAAGCCATTACTAGTTTCCATTAGCAATCACTGTGAATGAAAGCAAACACACAGCAAAAAAATGATCCTGGTTTCAGACTCAACATAAATACCATATAATAAAGTTAAATAGATCACAATACCGCTTCCATTTTTAGACTTCTTCTGTCCTGGTTTCTTCTTTGAAACAGCTACTTCAGAGGGTGGGGTGGGTTGCTTTGTAACTGGGACAGGTTCTATTTTTTTGACAGGAATCTTTGATACATCACTTTCTTTGATGATCTGCTCTTCAAGTAAAGGTTTTTGTTTTTTTTCCTTCTTTTTTCTTTCCCTCACACTACTTGAAGTTTCAACCACATTCAATGGAACAGGGACGACTTGCTCATCTTCTACAGCCAAATTATCAGACAATTTAAAGTCTCGAGGTACACTCTCAGAATCAGATTCAGGGAGGTTCCCATTCTGGATTTCTTTCTTTTTATTCTTTTTCTTTTCTGCCTTCTTTTTATCTGTTTTTGTAGGAACAAGCTTTTGTTCTCTTTTGTGCTTTGCAAGAACTTCATCATACAATGTTTCTTTCATGAAAAGCCAGAAGAAGAGGAAAATTACTGTAATAACTACTGAAGGAATAAGGACAACAAAATACGTTGACTCATAAAACTCCATGGTGCTCTTGTTAATGTGAACCTATAAAAACATAAGTGAGGGGGTGACAAAAAGAAAAAGAAACAATTCAGTCTTATACAAATTAACTTCATAAAGCTGCCACTCTTAAGTGGTATTTCAGATTTAACCTTATCCACAAATCAATCAAAAGTCACATACTTTATTACTGTCAACTACAATTCAAATACACTCTGAAAAGTGACAACGGTGTTTGTTACACATTGTTCCATTTTCAAATCATGTCCAAAAGGAGCCTAACATGGGCCGGGGAGATGGCTCAGTGGAATAAGCACTTCCCTGGCAAGTGCAAGGGCCTGAGTTCAGTCCCCGGTTCCGCAAAAAAAAAAAAAAAAAAAGAACCTAACGCAAAGGAATTAAGATGTTTCTCCCCAGACATCCTTGGTATGAGTGTGTGCACTGGTGATTAAACGCACACCCTCGTGCATGCTACATGTGCACTCTAACACTGAGCTATACCTCCAGGTACACTTTGGATAACTTATTAACATTTATATTATTAACATTTCTAAACATGTTTTCTCTTTTATTACATAGTTGATACTATTACATGTGAAAATAAAGTGCATCATCCCACTGGATATTCACTACAGTACTGATGGAAAAAAAGGGAAGTGATTCACTCTTTGATTTACAGGTTGAAGACCACTGAGTAACTGCTAGCATCTGTGTTCCTGTGGCGCAGTCTCATATTGTGGTAGGACACATTAAGCACATGGAAACACAACAAAGCCAAAATAAAAATGTTAAGATGAAGCATTAATTATTTTCTTAATCCTTTTCAAGCTACTCCTTACTGTATGAAACAAGTTACACTGCTAAAGCAATGCTGGATAGATTGTTTTTTTCTACCCAAGGGATAAAGAGAAAAAAGGACTTTTTCATCAATAGTGTCAGCTCTACTTTTAGATTAACCTAATAGGTACAGAAAGAAAAAATGTATAATCTGACTAATCTCTGTCTGCCTGGCATATAAATACTGCAAACCTCACCTACGGGGAAGTTTCTAATAAAATTAAATCTCAAATCTTGATGATTCTGATCTTCAGATTCTAATACTGATATTCCTATAAGTACATAAACCACATAAAAGTGCCTTATAAGACTGGCATGGTGTTTTAGGCCTATAATTCTAGCACTATGAGAAACTAAGGGAGGAGGATAATGAATTCAAGTCTAATTAGCAGGAGTCAACATAGTAAATGAGCTGGGAATATAGCTCAGAGCACATACCCTGGGTTCAATCCCCAGTATTAACCACACACACACACACACACACACACACACACACACACACGTGTTGTGGAAAACAGCAAGATCTTTAACATAGTTATAATTAAACCCAAGAACATAACTAAGGTAAAGCAAATTCAGTGAATTAACTTCAGCACTTTGAACGTGTAAGTGTTAGGGCTTCTGTCTAAATATCCCTCCAAAGCCTCATGCAGTCATAGGTGGGGCTTTTCAGAGGTGGTCAGATCTGGAGTGTGTGAAACTGGAATCAAGCATGTGTGATTACTAAATTGATATGACATAGTTCTGAGTGCAGATAATGAGAAGACGCATCCTGGGCTGAGTGCTACCTGCCCTAAGTTGTGCAGCCTGGATAAAATAAAAGGGATAGAAAGAGGGGTGCCGTCCTTGTTTGTTGCAATTATTCACTGCTTCTCTGCCTTCTGCCTGTGATGAACTGCCCCTCTGCCATGCTACCATACCTTGGAGCCAACAAACTGCAAGCTACAATAAACTTTTCTTTAACTTTGGGTGTCACATATTTTGTCTCATCAACAAGAAAAGTAAGCAAGCCAAGTAAGTCTTTAAAACAGGTAATAGTTAAAAACAACAAATTCCATTGGGTGAGGTAGCACACACCTATAACCACTCTGAAAGCTGAGACTGGAGGATTGCAAATTTGAGGTTAAGGAGACAATTTATCAAGACACTGTCTCAAGCAAATTGGTCAAGCAATAGGGGTGACTCATCCACACAGCTGACACTGACAAAGGATCTACAAACTGCTGTACAGGGTTTCAGGGTAAATCCTGAGGGGATTTGACTGACCTACCTTGTCAGATACAAAAGTTACATTTCTTCTTATATAGGTCTTGCTTTATCTTGATCTTAACCATCCAGCAGAAAAGTTTAACAACGAGGTATAAAAAGTAAAGCCATTATTAATAAGCTGAGATGTAAAAGGCCCAAGTTGGCAACTTCTGCCATTGCCAGTCCTACAGATAACCCACTACTATTATGAACTACTGGACTATATTGGATTATTTTGCTGAATTCACACACCTACAATAGCTAAATGGCAATGGAATACCCATCTCTAACAAAAACAAAAAAAGGGGATACAAAGGAAGGACCATTTTGTATCTGAATATACAAAATAGGACAGATATACAGCTACTTTCTCTTAATTCAATGAGAAGAAAGATATGTACAAATAGTGTTTGGACAGGATATCATTTCTACATCTTTTACTATGAATAACCACTACGAAGACAACAATATGCAATGTATTAATTATTGTAACTGCCCTACTAATCCATTTTGAAACTGTCTCACTGCTATTTGTTTCTCAATAAAATAATTTAAAAAGTTTCAAAATAAAAACGAACTAGGATATAACTCTATATTGGAGCATTCAGAATGAATGAGGCACTGGATTTGATCTTCAGTATTAGAAAAAAAATGTACATGTATATATGGGAATATTTTAAAAATAATTTTAGACCTTAGAAAACAAGCTTATAAGTTGAATATATCTGACTTTATTGAATATAAGGCTTTATCAGAACTATTTCAACAGAACTTAGTAAAACAAATTAAGCTATTCTTATTTATCTGTTAGCCACCAAGAAAAAAAGAACAGGTATCTTATATTGTTAATATAATCAACTTGAGTTTAGTAAATTTAACTTGTCTTTCAATTAATTTATACCTCATTTTAAGATGCTGAACATACTTGATTCAAGCTACACCAGCAATGACCCAAGTCTGAAAGTAAAAATGAAACCTGAGGACAAAGTTTTTGTTCAACAGACACACTATTAATCTTTGTGATAGAAATATTTCACATTTTGTATATCTACAAGCAATTTTTTAATATATTAACCCTTGATTTATAAGACTAACATACTGAAGGAGAAAAGGAACTGTGTACTAACAAAATACATAAAGAATTTTTATGTAGAATCATTCTTCGCTGGCAATTCAAATTAGCCTGAATTATCTAGACTCTAAATTGGTTAGGCAGATTTTACTGTGTCTAAGTATTACTAGTCAATTACTATTAAAGAACTGGGTTGTTTTTTTTTAAAACAAAAAAACACACTATCCAGAGGATACATACAGCCTGTTCTACTTGGCTGGGGGAGAATGAAGACAAAACAATCTTTTCTCAACCTTTTTGGTACCAGCAACCAGCTTCATGGGAGGTGATTTTGTACGAGGCTGGGTGTGGGTGGAGAAATGCTAGTGAGAGGGTTTCAGGATGATTCTAGCAAGTTATATTTATTGTGCACTTTATTTCGTCACTACATTGTATACTTCATTATTACACTAGATTATTATTAGCAGCACTCAACCTAGATCCCTCTCCTGTACAATTCACAGTAGGGCTCCTGCTCCTACAAGAACTAATGCCATGGGGCTGGTGAGATGTCTCAGTGGTCTAAAGCACCTACTTGGAACAAGCTTAGCAAAGCACAGGGACCGCGGTTCAATCCCCCAGCACCACATGCCAGCCCGCCCCGCCCCCTGGTGGGCTGAGCTGGCCACACAC